TGTTTACGAAATGTACCACAACAAAAGCACGTACTTTATATTGTAAAATAAATTTAAATTGGCATAAACTTTACTTAAGTGAGCCTTAAAGCTTTGTCCTTTTTGATGTTTGACCTTTCAAAGTGTTTGACAACATATTATTATCGTTGTGAGAATACGTATAATCGCAGACTGGCATATTCATTCCTCTCGAATAGAGGCTTTAGCGTCATTGTAGCAAAGAAGAAGAGACGAATTGCATCATTTATAAGTGAAGAATACATATTAATAATTAGTAAGTATATTCTTAAAAATGTGTGAATATTTTAATATTATATTTGTCATAGTAAATTGTTATTATTATATTTCAGAAATGGATGATGATAACCAGTTCCAAAAACAGTTAGAAGAATACAATATGGAAAACATTCATCGAGTAGAAAATTTTCTTTTGACGATAGAAAACAACAAATTGAAGGACCGAATAAAGTTATTAGAAAGGAAACTTGAAAACTTAATAAGTAAGTACAAGTCTTTAAATATCTTGTTTTTTAAATTACACTAAATAGCAGTATATCCTGTCTCTTGTATTGTATGAGAGCCTTTTCGCTAAGCATGCGTATATATATATATATATATATATATACACTCTGGGACACCCTATATATATTATATATATACAGGGTGTCCCAGAATTGGTGAGACATCTCTCGTAGGCAGATAGAAGAAGTAAAACTGAGTTGAAAAGTCTTGAACCATTTTTTTCTATTATATATAATAAAAGAGTAATTATTGAATAAATCAAACCAATCAGCGCCGATCTTTAGCCGCGCGGAGCGCTCACGCACATCAGGCGCGTGGTTCATTGACGTGCGTTCAGCTAAAGGTCGGTGTTGATTGGCTTGATTTATTCAATAATTACTCCTTTATTATATATAATAGAAAAAAATGGTTCAGGACTTTTCAACTCAGTTTTACTTCTTCTACCTGCCTACGAGAGATGTCTCACCAATTCTGGGACACTTTGTATATGCATACATATATCTACTCAAACACATATATACATTTTCTTTGCAGGGGAACGAATAAAGGAAAAAGAGACTAATGTAGATACCTCGCAATCAGATATATCGCAAAATAAGCGTAAGTAATTTACACTAATTGTTTACATCTTTCTCTCTCTCTCTCTTTGTCTATATATATATGTATATATATATATATGTATACATATATATTGCAGGAAAAAGACAATCATCACCTGTAAATGAAGAAGCATTAGACGAATCTGTGGACACAGAAGATAAAGAGAATAAACGTAAGTATAAAACAACATTCATACTTATTATGTAAATTTGTTTCTCACTCATTTACATACTCTCTTCTTTTTTCACTCATTCACTCAATCTCTGTCACTCACATTTTTTGTCTCTCTCTGTGTTTTTATTTCCTTTAGACATATACATGTATATATATTGCAGAAACAAAAGAATCAGTAGCTGCAAGTAAAGAATTAGATCAGGCTGCGAACACACAAGCAAATAAAGAGAATGATCGTAAGTATACAAACATTTATGCTTATTACTTATATCTCTTTTTTAGTCGTTCACTTACTCTCTTCTTTTCTCACTCACTCTTTTACTCACGCTCTTTGTCTCACTCTCTGTATCTGTCTATCTAGACACATATACATGTATATATATATATATATATATATATATATATATATATATAT